TATATATCCATATACATATATATCTATGTACATATGTGTGTGTGTGTGTGTGTGTGTGTGTGTGTGTGTGTATGATGGGGCAAAAGTGGGTTTACAGTTGTTCATATGGAAAACAATACAATCATTAATAAATAATAATACAAGAATAAACTTTTGCATAGTCACAACTGTAAAGCTACTTTTGCCCCGCCCCGTACATACATTAGCATATGTTATGCATTTATGATAGGATTTGGCTCACATGCTGTGGAGGCTGAGGCCCACAGTCTCCCACCTGCACGCCGGAGAACCAGGACAGCAGGTGGTGCATTCAGGCCGTTAGAAACCTGAGAACCAGGAGCGGCCAACGTCTCTGGGCAGGAGAGGGAAGTCTGGGCTCAGGCAGAGGCCATTCGCCCTCCTTCTGCCTTTCTCTATCCAGGCCCTCAGCCTGGCTGCTGCCCACCCACACTGGTGGGAGCAAGCTTCACTCAGACTAACAATTCAAATGCTAATCCCTTCCGGACACAGCCTCACAGACACACTCTGAAGTGAGGTTTTCCCAGCTGTCTGGGCCTCCCTGGGCCCAGGCGGGTTGACATGTAAATTACCCATCACGGTGGGGCGCGGGCGGGGAGATTGCTCTCCCGGCTCTGAAGCCTCAGTCTCAAGGACGCGTCCCCGCCGTGCACACCGAGGCGTGCACCCGGGTGGGGAGTGCCCTCCCCTGTGCACACAGTGGGGAGTGAGGTGGCTGCACGCCAAGTGGGGAGTGGGGGAGCACGGCGGGGGAGGGGGACCGCTGCCGCAATGCGCGCTTTCCTGGGAGCCCAGATGGAGAGGGGGCGCCGAGCGCGCGCGCCGCGGGCTGTGCTTGCGCGCCCCCGCCTGGGGCTATAAAAGCCTCATCACCTGCGGCCACTGAGCTTCCAGTGGTCGGGAGAAGCCAGTTCACCCTCTCCAGCGCCATCTCCGCTCGACATGGACCCTGAGACCTGCCCCTGTCCTACTGGTGAGCGCCCCCCCCCCCCATGCTGCGGCACAGCGCGCCCCCGCACTCCCAAAGAATCCCATGTTCTCTGGCTTCCCACAAGGACTTTTGGGGGAAGGGACCCTTATTTCCCATTTTGGACCTCGTGAAGGGTGGGCATATCCCAAAGGGCACTGAGGTTCGGCACCGCGCCTCCTTCCTTTAGGCCTGGCCCCGCCCGAGTTTTCCCACTTGAACCTTCTCCCCGTCTAGGAGGGTCCTGCACCTGCGCTGGCGCCGACTCCTGCAAGTGCGAGGGATGCAAATGCACCTCCTGCAAGAAAAGTGAGTGTGGGACCCCTCTGCCCCTGCCTGCTCTGCTCCCCGCGCCTGTCCGGGCAACATGGAGAGACCCCGGGGGGCCCCTACTACATTGCTTCTGACTTTCCGGGACAGAGGTCCTGGGGAGGCCTGCAGATACAATCGGCCTGGCCCCACCCCCAGTGATTCATCCAGCAGGCCTGGGGCAAGACGTTTTGGAAATTCCCAGAAGATTCCAATAGGAAGCTGGAACTGAGGACTGTCATCCTGGTCTACCCCGCCCCCTTTCTCTCCCCCCTTAAACCCTCCAGTGCCTGAGGGAGCCATTAGTGAGTTTGGGGGTTGGCGATGGACTTCCCATCCCCCTCAGGCCTTTGTGGATTCCCCTTAATGTGACCTCCCCAGTTCTCCCCAGACGCAGCAGTGTCATGTGCATGGGGAGTAGGAGGTGGGAGGAGGCCTCTCTTTTCCAGGGGGTGTAAGACTAGATGACCCCATGGGTCTCCTGGACCCCCCACACCTGTACCCTCTGTGCTCCTCCTAGTCCGTCCTCCAAGCTTCTTTTCAAGGTCATGTGCCCTGTGATGCTTTTTCCGTCAGGCCCAGCTCTCCCCCAGCCGGGGCCTGACCCTGCCATCCCGGACTCCCCTGTGTGACCAGAAAGGAGACTGGGCCTCAGGCCAGTGGGTAGCGTCTGGGTTTCTTACTTCGTGTGTTAAGGCTGGGGACAGTGGAACCAGGAAGGGCCTAGGGGAGCAGTAGCAACAGGAGGGAGCCCTGGGGGGCTGCGTTGGCTCCCTAGAAACGTTACAGGGAAGAAGTGAGCCCAGGCGGCCGCTGTCAGCTCACTGGACAGTGGGAGGAGAGGGCCTTGGGGACGGGTTCAGGGGGTTAGCCGGGAGGAGCTGCCACGGCCCATGGCTCCCCTGGTCACAGGCCCATGGGGACCCTTAGAGTTTAGGAGAAAGAAAATTCACTCGAAAGGGAGGTCCGAGTGAATGTGCCCACGGAGGGGCAGGCTGGCTTCTTTGTCTCAAAGGGGTTTCCTCTGGTCTCCGAGGTGGGGATTTTGGGGGAGTGACGATCTCCATAGACCATTCCTCAGCTTTTCTAGATGGTGGTGTCCACGGATTGGTCAGCACCAGGGCAGGGGAGTCATTAGACATTGCCACCTGGTTTTGCTGCTTTTCGGGGCCTGGAGCTGAAATATAGCCGAGGCCTAGATGTTATCTCCGGGGAGGAAAGGTCAGGCTGGGACCAAACCGCAGGATCAGCGTGAGGCTGGGGGAGGGAAGGCGACCCGGGCAGCGAGGCCTGGCATTAGTTTTGCTCATTGCTGGGCACCCAGGGCTTTCCGCCCTGGTGACCTGTGTGTGGCCGTAAATTGCTCGGCTAGTCTGTTCAGCTATTTGTCTCAGGTTCTCAGCTCCACTTGCCAAGGAATTTTCCTAGCTTCCTGCTATCCTGCCTCACCAGCACTTACCTGAGGGGCTGGGGGCTGGGCACCCTCTCCCACAGGCAGCCCAGCATGCAGCTGACACACCATAGACGCTGAGTCAGACCAGGTGTGACAACAACCAGCCTCCTGGCACCTCTCCTTCTACCCCCTCCCCTTGTTTTACCCGCAGGCTGCTGCTCCTGCTGCCCGCCTGAGTGCGAAAAATGCACCAAGGATTGTGTGTGCAAAGGCGGAGAGGGGCCGGGGGCTGAGGCTCAGAAGTGCAGCTGCTGCGATTGAGATGAGGACCTGCCCCTCCAGGAAACACGTGTAAATAGTGCTGAGTGGCCCAGTGCCACCTTCCCTGCTTGGCTGTGTGTCCCCCACTCCTGCAAGTGACAATAAAGCCTATGAATGGCATAAGCCCAGGACTGGTCTCTTCTTAAAGGGGAAGGATTGGGGGGGGGGGGAGAGCGTGCCTAATCCGAGGTGCCCAGCTGAAAAGTGAAACCCTGAGACTTGGCTCCTGTTCTGTTTGGGGCTGAGATGGAGTCGGAGCACATCCCCTCCCCAGATGGCCCTAGATCCTCCTGCTAAGTCAGGGTCAACTCTGGGGAAAGGGGAGATCAGACCCATCGAGGTTTGTCTCAGTCCCTCTTCATCTGTAGCCCCCAGCTCCCAAAGCCTGTCATTTCTGGAATTTTCTAGTTGCTACAAAGCTGCCAGTTTTCAGAGACATTAAGGGGAGTCCAGGAGGCTCCGGGCCGGTCTTGGCAAACTCAGCTGCGTTTCCAAGGTCACGGCCCTGAAGAGCCCGTCTCCCTGAAACAGAGCTTTGGGCTCCTTTTCAAAGCATCTCCCGTGGCACTCTGTCTCCGAGCCCCCTTTCTTCTGGGGGAAGTAGGGCAATAAGAGCTTTTGTCCAAGGGCGTTGTGGTCCAGGCCTTGGTGAAAGACAACACCCAGCTCCGCCTGGGCGGGCTGAGGAGGGAGAAACAGGATCGGGAGAGAAAGGCTGTCCGGGAGGAAGACACAGCGCAGTGAACACGCCCGTTTTCCTCCAAGTGAGTTTTGAGTGGTCCATTCAGAAGCCCACCGGGATGTATTTTTAATAGGCTACGTTGAAAAAAAAAGAAGAGTGCGAGAAAAGCCACGCCGGCTTTGTAAAGAAACGACAAAAAAGGCTGGTCGTTTGCGAGCCCTGCTTGTTCTGCAGGAAGTGGTGTCGGCTCAGGACTAGATCGAGTGCGAGAAAAGTCACACCGGCTTTGTAAAGAAACGACAAAAAAGGCTAAACAGAAACAGACGCCTGTGCAGCTGGAAGAAGGCACAAGTGATCAAGTCAGTGGCCAAAGGGTTCACTAGTCAAGGAAACGTGTTGGGATGGTTGGCTACCGATTTACATATCATCTGTGAAAAAAAGCAAAACACAAAGCTATCGCCCTGGCTGATAGCCGGTGCTCAGTGGTTAGAGCGCCGGCCCTCGAACCGAAGGGTGGAGGGTTCATTCTGGTCAAGGGCACGTACCTGGGTTGCAGGTTCCCCACCCCAGTTGGGGTACGTACGGGAGGCAACCAATTGATGTGGCTCTCTCACATCGATGTTTCTCTCTCTCCTCTCTCCCTCCCACTCTCTCTAAAATCAACGGAAAAAAATATCCTCCAGTGAGGATTAAAAAAAGAAATCAAAGCTGTCAAAGAATTTGGAAGAGGAAAACAGGAGACTCTTTATTCCTTTGGGGTAGAGATGATTCTGCTACATAAGGCACATAAAAGAAGAGACTGATAAACTTGAGATTGCCTTGAACTCCTTCCCCTTAAGTACAGTACCTTATTGGGTCCTTAAACTCTAGAAGAATGGTATGACTACTATAACCGTTTTATACACGGGGCACTAGGGCCTAGGGTCATTTGCATGAGGTCTGTTAAAAAATAAACCAAGGCCTCATAAGAATGCTAAGTTTACTTGAGCAAACGTCCATTTGCATTGGGAAGCATCCATTCTGGCAGATAGAAAGGAGCCGCACAAGAGGAAAGACGGTTACAGGCGGAAGGGAGCAGGAATGAGGAAGTTGTAACAGGCAAAACAAAATGGGGTGATTCTTGCCATTTACTTTCCCCGGGGGGATGGCAGGGATCACTCAGGCAGATTACCTAACCAGTGGGGTCAGGTGGCTCCTGACGGACCGGTTGAAGCTCATTCAGCCTTTGAATGAGGGATCTTTTCCGTCTTTCCGTGGGATTCTGAGCAGGCAAGGACACACGCATCTCCACCAAGTCTGCCATCTCAACGTGGCCCTCCAACCCGCCTCATCGCAAGAGTATTTATGGATGCTGGACACCGAGGGTAGATGAAAAGAAATGGTCTCTGGCCCAGCCGGTGTGGCTCAGTGATTGAGCATTCACCCCTGAACCAGGAGGTCATGGTTGGATTCCTGATCAGAGCACATGCCTGGTTTTGGGCTCCATCCCCAGTAGGGAGCCTGCAGGAAGCAGCTGATCACTGATTCTCTCTCATCATTGATGTTTTTATCTCTCTCTCCCTCTCTCTGAAATCAATTTTTAAAAAAGAAAAGAAAAGGTCTCTGTCCTTCACGGAGCTCATGGACTTGTGGGAGGGTGAAACCACCGCAGAACAGCCAGAGTGAAATGTTTGATACTTTAGTGCTGGGAGACTTATAGACCATGGTTCACAGGCTCTCTGTTTTAGAGATGGGAGACTGAGGCCCAGGGATGGAGGGGGACACATAAAAGCTCTGGTAGCTTTAAGAAGGAAGAAACCCTACCAGATTGGGGGATCAGGAGGAGGCACGTAACATGGGCTTGGGGCCCTGGCCAGTGTAGCAAAGTGGTAGAGTGTCGCCCGTGGACCAAAGGGTTGCATAACGGGTCCAATTCCCAGTCAAGGGCAGGTACCTGGGTTGCAGGTGTGTTCCCCTGCTCCAGTCAGGGCACTAGTGGGAAGCAACCAATCGATTTCTCTCTCTCACGTGCCCGATCAGGGGGCTGCAACCGAGGTACGTGCCCTTAACCCGGAATCAAACCCAGGACCCTTCACTCTGCAGGTCAGTGCTCTATCCACTGACTAGGGCCCTGCTTGGTATTTCATTTGAGTTAGCACACAGGTCCCAGAGAGGTGGAAAATGTCTTTACTTACATTTTGCAATCGGCCCTAAACAAGGTGAAGACTGGGAAGGGAGGAGCCATCGAGGCGGCGATGACCCCCAATACTTTACTTGACAAATATTTATGACGCGCACCCTGTGCCCAGGGCTGGAGACACATGGCAGGGGCAACAAATGCTCTTGGAGTTTTCAACGGCAGCCTGGGTTAGGGAAGGACACCGATACGCCCGCATGTATTACAGACATGGGAAGTTCCAGGGGAAAAAAAGGACAGGGTGTCTTCCAGCACGTAGCACGGGCACCCTGCTGGAGCATGGGGCTCCGGCTCCCGGAGGAAGTGAGGTTTGAGCTGAGCTGTGAAGACATCTCCATAGGATCCGACGGTAAACACTGCCAGGACAGCCTGTTCTCTGCCGCCTCCTCACTGCACGCCCCGCCGCAGCCGCCAGCAGCCCCTCGGCCTGCCAGGGACCTTCCAGGAACCCGTTTCCCAACTCTGACCACACATTCTGGGCATTTGGAGGTTGATGATCCAGAGAGGAATCCGGGCCACCTGGCCTCTCTTCCTCTCAGCATCCCCTGGGGAAGAAAAGTTCTTGTGGGGTTTTTCCCTTCCACGTGTTCCAGAACGCGCCAGCTTGCCAGCCAACTGCCTCCTCTGCCCCTCCCTCCCCTGCCTGGCAAGGCCTCACCCTCCTCGTCCCTGACCCACTTCCTCCCAGGCTGCACTGGTCTCCTCCTCTCTGCTCCCCCGGCCCCAGAGGGTGCCTTCCATCCCAGCCATGACCCTGCTGTCACTTTTCCCTGGGCCCCGTGGTGACACTGCCCCCCTGCCCATGAGTGTCCGGAGCACCAGGCTTGTGGCTTCTTGGCTTCTATTCTCCCCTGTGGCTGGGTGATGCCTACCCTTAGAGAGCCTTCAGCATCGGCTGGGCTCTCTGATTCGAATCCCCAGGTTCTGCACTCACTCCCTAGCTCTGTGGTGACCCTGGGCAAGTTACTTAACCTCCATTTCCTCCTCTTTATTTATTTTTTAAAATGTATTTTTATTGATTTCAGGGAGGAAGGGAGAGGGAGAGAGAGATAGAAACATCAGTGATGGCCCTAGCTGGTTTGGCTCAGTGGGTAGAACGTCCGCCTGCGGACTCAAGGGTCCTGGGTTCGATTCCAGTCAAGGGTACATGTCCGGGTTGCGGGCTGGATCCCCATTAGGGGGTGTGCAGAAGGCAGCTGATCATTGATGCTTCCATCTCTCTCTCTCCCTCTCCCTTCCTCTCTGAAATCAATAAAAAAAATATATGTTTTTTTTAAAAAAAGAAAAGACATATCAATGATGAGAGAGAATCATTGATTGGCTGCCTCCTGAACACCCCACACTGGGGATGGAGCCTGCAACCCAGGCACGTGCCCTGAAGGGGAATCTAACCATGACCTCCTGGTTTATAGGTCAATGCTCAACCACTGAGCCACCAAAGGCAGGGCGATTTCCTCCTCTTTAAAATAGGAATGACAGATGGTCCCTACCTCCCAGTGTTGGTGAAATGAGACTCCCACAGAACTGGAAGACTATACTTACTATTGCTTGCCAAAGCACTGCATATATAACGGGTAGGATATGTCAATAACCGTCCCACGGGTTTCATATGATGCTACACGGTGATTAAGCCTTGACACATACAAAGAATTTTTTGGTAATCTGTTCTCTCTTCCAACGGATTATTTCTCCGAGCAGGATCCCCAGAATCCGCTTTCAGGCTCTCTAACCACTAGGGTTCAAGTACGGGGCACACGGGGTGTGGGGAGCGAGCTGCGCCGAGGTCACAGCGGGAGTTCAGAGCCGGGTGCTCGGCGCACGTCCCAAACGCCTAGTCACAGCTCTGCACCCGGCACCCCCCACCCCCCCGCGCGAGGTCGCCCCGCGCGCACCCAGGGAGGCTCCGGGCAACGGCCGCCTGGATCCGTGTGCACAGCCCGGTGCGCTCGGCCCCCTGCGCCCGCCGCCACCTCTGACTCATCGAGGGGCGTGTGCAGGCGGCGCCCGGCACCGGCGGCTTTTGCACTCGCCCCGGCTGCGTCCCGCTATAAAGGAAGCCTCCGCGGGCTCGGCTTCACAGCGCCTCCCGCAAGCTCCAGCGATCAGTGTCACCTCTGTCCTCGGACTCCAGCCACCGTTCAGCTCGCCATGGACCCCAACTGCTCCTGCGCCACCGGTAAGTGGGCCTGGTCCGGGGCTGGGGATGCCCGGTGTCCTGCTCCTGCTAATCCCTGGGTTCCAGGGTACGCACAGTTCTTAGAGCGGCCGGTGCACGTTTCTCCACGGTCCTCCGTTGTACTGACAGTTGGCTGTGGAGCTGGGTTCGTTGTGGATCTGGGAGCCTCTAACGCAGGCTCCCGGCACCCCTTCACTGGTTGGGTATCCGGGGACCATTCTCACCTGTTTTTCTTCTTGCAGGTGGTTCCTGCACCTGCGCCGGCTCCTGCAAATGCAAAGACTGCAAGTGCACCTCCTGCAAGAAGAGTAAGTGCAGTCTCTTCTGCTCCCGACGTGCCCCTCCCGCCCCCACCCTGCATGCCCTCCGCCCCGAGGGGAATTTAAACAGGGCAACTGCAGCCCCTGGGGAAGCGGCACCTCCTCCACCGTGGCCCCTGTTGCGAAGGACGGGATTTCTTACTGATCTTTTATCCCAAGCGCTCACCTCTGCCGCCTCCTCTCCTCCCCCAGGCTGCTGCTCCTGCTGCCCCGTGGGCTGTGCCAAGTGCGCCCAGGGCTGCGTCTGCAAAGGAGCCTCCGACAAGTGCAGCTGCTGTGCGTGATGCGTGATGCGTGATGGAGAGCCCGCTCCCGGTTGTAAATAGAGCCACGTGTATAAACCTGCATTTTTTTGTACAACCCTGACCCGTTTGCTACATTCCCGTTTTTATTTCTATGAAACACACGAATGACAATAAAAGTTGTTGGCTTTATTCGGAGTCTGTTTTCCTTGGCGTGCGCACCAGGGCTGGGTGTGGGGGACTGGATGGGAAGTGGAGGGACCTGGGTCGGGGAAGGAAGTGTTGTTATTCCCTAACAGCCTTCAGGCAAGCCAGGTGGCCTCCGGGAGGGTGCTCTACCGGCATCGGGTGGACACAGGATCCCCTCTGTGGTCTCGGCAACGTTGATGGCAAAGAAACTTCTCCATCCAGAATGCTCATTCTCAGCGGTTTCCCGGACCCACTTCGGTACCTCACGGCATGGAAGGCTTGAAAATCTATAGAGTACCTTACTTGCTTGATTCTGACATGGGCTTTAAAATCCCCCTTTGTAGTGAAGAAACTCCCCCTAATCCATCCCAGACCTACATGTTGGTAAATAATAATTACTATGAAATGGCATAAAAGAGCAACACAAGCCACATTTTTAGACTCAAGACACAGTTTCCATATACAGAGAACAGATATGCGAGATTTTAACATGCTGCACACGGCTCATCAGAAGGGTGCATTGAGCACTGGAGACAATTTATAAATCCCCCCCAAAGTGTGGGCCTCAAACACCTGGAGTCCCACTGTCCCACTTTGAACTTGGTTCTGAAACTTTGCAAGTTCCTCCCTAGGGCAGGCTCAACCCTGGCCCTCCTCCAAAATCCAACTCCTGGCTCTTTGAAACCAGCAAAGTGCCTAGGGATTTGGAGCAAATCACCCAGGCTTCTTTTCTCAGTTAGAGGGAGGGGTGGCTGAGAATGGTTCCAGGTGAGGCACCCCGTCCCCCAGTCACTCCCCATCCCCACCCCCACCCCCACCCCCATTAGCCTGTGCAGGGTGATGTCAGGTTCTGCAGTTTAGAAGCAGCGACTTGTAATTAATGACAACGGTTAGTCCCCCCTGGCTGTTTGTAGAAGGAGTTGCTATTTGATGTAAAGTCAAAGAGAAAGACAAGTCACATGGACCAGGAGTCAGGACCGTGCTTGCCTGCAAGGCTCTATGTGAAGAAGAAGGGATCACAAGAGCCAGCCTGTGCCAAGCGCATGGGTTTTGGTGTCATGCAGCCTGGTTCACAGCCTACTTTGCCACAAGTGGCATGTCCTGCGCGAGTCGCTGAAACTCTCTGGGCCTCCATGTCCCCATTTGTAGAAAGGAGATGATATCTCCAAGGGAGGAATAAATGATAGTGTGCCGGCTCCAGGGTAGGCTTAATAAGCAGTGGCTGTTATGATCTGTAGGGAGCGTCTATGTGGTCAAGCCTCAGACTAACCTGTGGCAGAGCCACATACAAGTCCCAGCTTGGAGGGCAGAGCCCTCCTAGCACAATTAAGCTTGACCTTACAGTCCTCCCTTGTTCCTAGGTAGCTAATGGGCTGTGGGAGGTGCAGCAAGTGCTGCCAAAATAAGGCTTGAGAAGCAAAATAGATTTGAAACTCGCAAGGACATTGTAAACATGTGGACCATTCCCCTTGCTTTGCTTTGTGTGATCTGACTATAAAATAAAGCTTGGGCTTACAGGCTGGGTCACTGTTTCCTCATCCAGGCACAGTGATCCACCTGGTCCCAACTGTATTCTCTTGTCTGTCTTCTTTAATCCTTCACCACCCCTCCTCAGGTTCACCCCTGGCCGTGCTGGACATGGTTCAATGATCACTGTGTCCATTCGTGTGGCGAGAATCCTTTTCCATCCCACCATGCACCTGGAGGAAGGCTCATTGGTTTAGAAGCATTACTCCGGCCCGGCTGGCCGCTGTGGCTCAGTTGGTTAAGTGTCCTCCCATGCACTAAGAGGCTGCCGGCTCAATTCCCAGTCAGGGCACATGCCCAGGTTTTAGGCCGGATCCCCCATGGGGGGTGTGCAGGAGGCAGCCAATTGATGACTCTCATTGATGTTTCTATTTCTCTCCTTTCCTCTTTCTATAAAATCAACAAAAACATTAAAAAAAAAAAAAAAAAAGAAGCATTGCCCTAACCGGTTTGGCTCAGTGGATAGAGCGACAGATTGCGGACTGAGGGGTCCCGGGTTCGATTCCGGTCAGGGGCATGTACCTTGGTTGCGGGCACATCCCCAGTGGGAGGTGTGCAGGAGGCAGCTGATCGATGTTTCTCTCCCATCAATGTTTCTAACTCTCTATCCCTCTCCCTTCCTCTCTGTAAAAAAATCAATAAAATATATACTTTAAAAAAATAAATAAAAAAAATAAAAAAAGAAGCATGACTCTGGGTTGGACATTAAGGGTGGGATAAAAAGGTGCTGACCCGGGGCCAGGAAGACAGAGGTGACTCCTGTAATAAGCACCCTGGGACAAGACACTGCCACCGCGTTTGAGTGGACACCAAGTCTTTCCCACCCGTCATTTCATCCTCACGGGGCCAGGGAGACAGACTGCAGATGGAAGGGCTGAGGCGATTATGGCATTTTCCAGGGAAGTTCAACAACCTGCTCAAGAAGTCACAGGTCTGAACTATGCTCCAGGTGGCTTCACTCCCTGGCCACTGCGAGCTGGTCACGGTGTTACTGGATGCTCAACCCTGCCCTTCACAAGGAGAGCCAGAAGGGGTTTTCCAGAAGAACCATTTGTGCCCCTGGCTGGAGAGATGAGAAACAGCGGAGTGTTCTTGCCACTAATGCCGTGACATACACTCTATGTGGCTCAGCCTCCTTCACTGTCAAGGGGTAAAGTAAGCCACGTGGGTCAGTGTAGAGGTCAAGCGGAATGAAATTAACTAGAAGAGGACACTCCGCCAGGAAAAGGCGGGAGCCTGCAAGCGGGCCACGTCAGAACAAAGTCTTGCACGCAAGACTTATTGTTCAGAGGCAGGACTTTCCTTGACGTGATAAATAGTCCATGAGGGCATGGAAAGTTTAAGGGAGGGTGCACTGCTGCAGGTGGAAATAATCTTTGTATAATACAGGAAATTAATAGTGTCATGTATAACTTAGCTTTGATGATCTCATAAGCATGCTTGTTAATCATTGTCACTTGCTGTACTCCATTGTTGTTTGCTGCGCTCACTGAAATAAATGCCAGAAGGCATCAGGGGGTCTTTGCTACTTGCCTGAGCGAGCGGTAGCCCTCTGCTTCTCCGTATCCTGTCGTCCGACTCATCTCCGTGTCTCCGTTCACAAAGAACATCAATAGGTCAGAGGAGTGAATGAATTTGTACAGGTACAGAACCCACATGAGCTCTGGCACGTGGGGAGCGGTCTACAATACTAGCTACTTGTCTTATGACTGTTCTACGTGGCTGAGGGGAAATAGATTTGCCTCCAAATAAGCCAGGGCTGGTGAGCCAGGCTGTGTGTCCCGTGTTGTCCATGGAGATGTGACCTGCAGACCGGAGTCCTTCACTCTTCCACCAAATTGTGATCGGCACAGGAAATGTCCAGGCATGAGGAAGATGCCCTGTATCTCCTCAGAAACCCAAAGAAACCTGCCGTTTGTACTTTGAAATGATTCCTATTTTCTTAAATATATTTACATGGGAAGCCGACTATTTTACCACTGATAGCAAGAAACTGTATGATATGAGACACTGCAGCTGGCCAGACGATTCTAATGTTATAATAATAACATCATAGTTATATTAGTATTACTATAATAAATATTTATATTATTAATCATTAATTATAAAATCTATTTACATCATTATGATAAAATCTATATATGTCACGTGTATTCCTGCCACAGTGGGTGAGCTGGCAGCTTGCTCTGGCTTAAATGGCTTCGAGCCTTAGAGAAGTGTTGTCAACAGACCCCAGCCACAGTCTTGGCGATCGAGGGGCCTTCTTCCCCTTCCCTTGGAAGCCTCTCTGGATTCCACCGAGGGTACAGATTCCCAGCTATGTCACCGGGGGCAAGTGCTTTAGCCTTCGTGTGCTGAAATGGTCCCATTAGCAGAAAGGGCTCGTACCTACTAATAGAAGTATTTCCCTTGTATGGCTGTTGTGAAAGTGCAAAGATCCAGAGTGATGAAAACATGGCCTGCCACTCACTAAGTGCTGCGTCATCATCAGCGGGGAAGGGGGAGAACACTCCTCTTGCATCGATATTGCGGCAGGCATTTAGGCATGAGCAGAGCAAGGATGATGGGCCAGGCACAGAAGGTCGCCAGGGCAGAAAGCCCTGGGTGTCTAGCAAAAGACAACTGTAGGGCCCTAACCGGTTTGGCTCAGTGGATAAAGCGTCGACCTGTGGACTGAAGGGTCCCAGGTTCGACTCCGGTCAAGGGCATGTACCTTGGTTGTGGGCACATCCCCGGTGGGGGATGTGCAGGAGGCAGCTGATCGATGTTTCTAACTCTCTATCCCTCTCCCTTCCTCTCTGTAAGAAATCAATAAAATATATTAAAAAAAAAACACACAACTGTAGGGTGGGACCTCACCCCCAGGGGGACCTTTCCTCCCCCAGCCTATCACTGGCCTTGAGGTTGGGACCCCCTGACCTTTCCTCCCTAGAAATAACCTCTAGGCCTCAGTTGTATTTTAGCGACAGGCCCAGAAAAAGCAGCAAAACCAGACAAGCCACCCCATGGCTGGCCTCAGGACCAGCGGCATTGAATAAGGACCCCCTGCCCTGGTGCCCACCAATCAATCCGTGGAGACCCGGACCCTGAGCGGACACACCTGTAAGCTGCTGAACATTCTATGAAGATCCTCTGAATCCTTCCGTAGCCAGAACTCAAGGACCCATGTTGCTGAACCCAGGTCCCCTGTGGCCCCACCAGTCTAACCCCTGCTGCCCTTCCCGCTGCCACAACAATATCCCAAGCCAAGTCTTCCCATCACCTCAAATGCTGCCTCCTGTGGGGTAGCCAGGCTGCGGGAACCTCTGGGAGGGGGGTGTACCAGCAGGCTGTGGGGAACACTAGCATTTTCTGCAAAGGACCTGACAAATGTGTCCATGGATCCCCCCAGGGGAGACTGGAAGGGTGGAAGAAGGCAGGGGCCTGTGCTAGCCAGGTGCAGTGTACCCCAGAAAGGGGGTTGTGGGCCCAATGGG